CGTTATTCATCATATTTATCTTCCAAACTTTCAGTTATTGACCTACATTGTTGCAAAAAATGTTTCTGAATAATAAGCGTAAACGTTTAAAAAAAAGTGTTACTGTGTACCAATTATTTATGTCAGTTTAATTCGAAGCGATTTTAATTAAAGTGCAAGTAAAATTGTAATTTAAGTACAAATAAAGTTTATTCATATCTAAAATTCATTTAATTTTTTTTTGTAGTACAAAATCTTTGCTATCTGTGTATCGTTTTCATTTCTTTCTAAATTTCGGGGCGATCAAAATTTTTTATCTTTTTAGGTGTAATATTGAGATAATTGACCATGTAGTTAAATAGCCAAACAGACAGACAGACAAGAAAACATAACCATGAAGGAGGATTTCTTTCTGTTGTTCTTTTGTGTATGTTTGTTTAATAGAATTAAAATTATCTACGTTCCCGTATTACCCCCGTTAATGTAGGTAGTAGTATAAACGTGGCGACTCTGGACTACTCCAATCAATGACCTTGCCCTTGAGATATTTTATCAAGGTCAAGGACTTTATTACTTTTTCGTAAAAATTGCTGTGGAAGTCAAGCAGGCAACGTAAAATGTTCTTCGATTTATTTTAATTATTTAAAACTAGCTCTAATCACGGTTTAAATTATTTTTAGAGTCGTCATCGGACGAAGATAGCATAGTTAATGAAGAAGCAGTAGAAAGTACTCCAGAAAGAGAACGGATACGAGACAGAAGTACACCCCAGATGCTACCTCCACCTCCTCTGTCAGATACAAGTAGCACCGGTTCACCACCGCCGTTACATCACAGGCCTCGAATGCCACCCCCAACTAATTGGGACCATCGAAGCAAAACTGAAATTACCGATATTAGCGACGTCATGCAAAACTTTAGGCCTTGTATGTAGAACATTGAAACTACTAAAATACGTTAGGTGTATACTTATTATATTTTTGTAGATTCTCAAGCACCTGACGTAACACATACGACTGCTCAAGGGGGTCGCAGATCAACCGGTGCGGCGGATAGGGTAAACAGGTATTCCTCTTCCGCTTCCGAAGATACCATAAGTACGGGCACCGGACGATGGAAGGTGTCCGCTAAAATTCAACAGTTGCTCAATACTCTTAAGAGGCCTAAACGTAGACCTTTACCTGAATTTTACGAAGATGATGATATAGAATTAGAAATAGCAGCTAATCCGAAAGATCCTAATGCTCCCAAACCAGAAGGTAAATTGGCAAACCAAGAAAATGGAAGAATAAATGTAATAATGCTTTTCATGTAGGAGGTTCCATGACACCAGCCGTAGGCGACCAGCTAGTAGTACCTTCTGGACTTCCAAGAAATTTGGAGGCAGCTGTAAGTCGATATGGATCTGCATCTTTTAAAGCGCCCGTTGCCACTGTTCTAGACCCTAACGGGAAATTGACAACTACTTTGACTTACGGTAACTCGAATTTATATTTATTATTATAGGAACTGAATGAAAATTATAAACCTCGTTTTGGCTTCAGGTAAATTACAAAGTCGATCGCAGAAAATCGCATATGCACTTCTTACGAAAGCATTTAGCAAGTCTGGTGAAACAAGTTTGAAAACTGGTGATCGCGTTGCGCTTGTATTTCCAAACAATGACCCCATTAACTTTCTTTGCGCTTTTTACGGTTGTTTACAAGCCGGCATCGTCCCTGTTCCTATCGAAGTCCCGATTACAAGGCGAGATGCCGGTTCACAGCAGATAGGATTCCTCCTAGGCAGCTGCAGCGTCCAAGTAGCCCTTACGTCTGAAGCTTGTCTAAAAGGACTACCAAAAACTGCCTCCGGTGATGTAATACAGTTCAAGGGTTGGCCCCGTTTGCAATGGTTTGTGACTGAACATTTGGCTCGGACACCAAAGGATTGGTTGCCACCGCCTCGTCTGACCGATGAAACACCCGCCTACATTGAATACACAACTGATCGAGACGGTTCAGTTATGGGTGTGACAATCACACGAGCCGCTGTACTTACTCACTGTCGCACCCTTACAATGGCTTGCAATTATACTGAGGGCGAAATCATGGTCTGCGTGTTGGATTTTAAAAGAGAAGTCGGTTTGTGGCACTCAGTTCTTACGAGTGTTCTCAATGGAATGCACGTTATCTACATCCCTTACGCTCTTATGAAAGTCAATCCGGCAAGCTGGATGCAAATGATAACGAAGTACAGAGCTAGTGTGGCGGTAGTAAAATCCAGAGATCTCCACTGGGGTCTGTTAGCTACCAAAGATCATAAGGACATTAATCTGTCCACTCTTCGGATGCTCTTAGTTGCTGATGGTGCAAATCCGTGGTCCTTAAGCTCCTGTGATCAGTTCTTATCGGTGTTTCAGACGAAAGGTTTACGTCCAGATGCAATATGTCCATGTGCGAGTTCAAACGAGTGCTTGACTGTGTCTGTTCGACGTCCTGGTCGAGCTGGAGTGAATGCCACTGGTAGGGGGGTTCTTTCAATGCAGGGTCTCAGTTACGGAGTTGTTCGAGTCGATCAGGAGAATAGTCTGACTTCGTTGACTTTACAAGACTGCGGTCAAGTTATGCCCGGTTGCGTGATAGTTGTGATCAAAATGGATGGACCACCGTACCTTTGTAAAACAGACGAGGTCGGGGAGATTTGCGTTAATTCGGGGGCGACCGGAACGCAATACTGGGGATTGCAAGGACTTACGAATAGTACGTTTAAAGTGCAGTCGCTCGCGTCGGATGGTAAACCAATGTCTGATGCCGAGTATAGTCGGTCGGGGTTACTAGGGTTTTTGGGGCCTGGCGGACTGGTGTTTGTTTGTGGTTCTCGTGATGGACTAATGACTGTTACGGGTCGGAAACATAATGCGGATGATATAATAGCTACTGTTCTTGCGGTGGAGCCGATGAAGTTCATTTATAGAGGACGCATTGCTGTGTTTAGTATCCGTGTACTTAGGGACGAGAGGATTTGTGTGATTGCTGAACAAAGACCTGATTGCAGTGAAGAGGAGGTAAATTAATTGAGTGTCCGAATGAAACTTTAAAAAAATTGTGAAAATAATCTTTTCAGTCTTTTCAATGGATGTCTCGTGTTTTGCAAGCTGTAGACTCGATACACCAGGTAGGCATTTATTGTCTGGCGTTGGTTCCACCGAATTATTTGCCAAAAACTCCATTGGGTGGCATCCACCTTTCCGAGACCAAGCGTAGATTTATGGAGGGAACGTTGCACCCAGCTAACGTTCTCATGTGCCCCCATACGTGTGTCACTAATTTGCCAAAACCACGAGAAGTTCATCAAGGTAAGTATTCGTTTTAATATGAGAGAATTTTTGAAATTTCCAACGAAAATGTATATTCCAACATTTTCTATTCTTTCACTTCATTATCTATCTTTATTTCGATAAATGTGTTTTATGCCTCACCAAGTGATGCTTTTCTTAAAGAAAATTTCATACTGAAGCATTTATAAGACATACTTGTTATTGCATTGAATATTTTGTCGTTTTTCTTAGCTTGTTAACAACACGAGCACAACACTGAAACTAACAATTTTCCCGTCCTCATTTGAAGCACACAAAATAGTTTGAAACCAGTAAATATCTTAACAAACAATTCGAAGTGGTCAGTATTCTGTTAAAACTGCCAGACGTGGTCGCAATTTTGATCTTTTTGGATCTCATCAGCGCGTCTCGGACAGTTTCGACAGAACACCGACCAATTTTTACCTGCTGTCTTAACAGCGCGTTTTATAAAATACCACAAATGGCGCGGTAAGCGCCATCTGTAGTACAGTGCTGAATTTAGTGGAATTCATTATGCTCAACAAGGTCCATTTAAATATATGGATATCTACTTGCTGAACTGAATCCAAGGCGTAGCTCACCACACGTGACAGACACGTTACCAAAATCGAACAAATTGGTCAGTGTTCCGTCGAAACTGTACTACAGATGGCGTTTACCGCTCCATTTGTGGTATTTTACAGTAAATATCCTGTTTAAAGTTAGTACGTTCTAAATACTGACTAACATTAAATTAAATATTCTGTCATTAAAAAAAACCTGCAACAAAATTTTCTGGATATTTAAAGTAATATAGTGTGCAAATTTTCATTGAACACGTATGTTTGCTTTTCAAATGTCACTTGCCTAATAACATGTGATGACAATGAAGCTTGTGCTTGAGTGATGCTACAGTCCATTGTTCCTCTGGCTTTCAGCAGCCGACTGTGTTTCAGACGTTGGCCCCGCGTCTGTTATCGTTGGCAACCTGGTGCAAGGCAATCGCCTCGCAAGTGCTCAAGGTCGAGATCTCGGTGTCCTCGACGAAGATGGAGACACCACTAAGAGGGTTAGTTATTAATGAATTAATTTATCATCATCGCGCACCTTTACCACCCCCGGTTTCTGTTTCTAGTACGAAGTCTGTTCAAAAAGTATTGTGAATTTTGTGTTTTTTCAAAAATTATTTATTCATGAATATCTATTTTGTCTCCTTCAAAGTAATCCCCACCAAATATTATACATTTGTGGCAACATTTTCTTCAATCCTCGAAACGAAAAAATTATTTTTTGTGATCTTCTTCAGCTCCTCCTTCTTTATCTCCTCAATCCTAGCGTAGCGTCCTCCTTTAATGGTCCTCTTCAAATTCGGGAACAGGAAAAGTTCACAGGGGGCAGATCTGGGAAATAAGGTGGCTGCAACATTATTAGTATGTTGTTTTCGGCCAACAATTCGCGCACAAGCAACGATGTGTGAGCAGGGGCGTTATCATGGTCAAAATCCAATTTTTGTTCTTCCATAAATCCAAGCGGTTCTGGCGGCAAATCGGCATACTTTGCAGGTAATATTCCTTATTGACCGTTCTAGCCTGTGGTAAGAACTCATGATGCACCACGCCCCTGTAATCGAAGAAAACTGTAAGCAAAACCTTCACATTCGATCTAACATGACGCGCTTTTTTCGGTCTTAGCTCAAGCGGCAGCTTCCATTGGGATGATTGAGTTTTGTTTTCTACGTCATAACCATAAACCCATGATTCGTCACCAGTTATGACCCTTTGGAGCAAATTTGGGTTGTCGCGGACAGCTCCTTAGCAATGTTAATGCGGCGCTGTTTTCGTTCGAAATTGAGCAATTTCGCGGCAACCCGTCTCATGCCCAAATCGTTGGTAAAAATCGAATGGCAGGAGCCAACTGATATGTTTAGGTGCTCAGCAACTTCTCCAGGTGTGATTGGATGATTGGCCAATACTATTTTTTTCACTTTATCAATGTTTTCGTCTGTTGTTGACGTGTTCGGGCGTAAGGCACGCTCTTCGTCGTCCATATCTTCTCGGTCCTCTGAAAACATTTTTTACCACCACGTTGCACCGGTCCAAGGTAGCTTCTTCATATGCCACAGTCAACATTCGGAATGCGTCCGTGCACTTCATTTTATTTTTCACAATAAATTTGATGTAGATTCTTTGATCCACTTTTTGTAGTAGGAAAAAATCGAAGACCACCCAAAACACGTGCAAGCAAAGCAGCTGTCAAAAATTAACTGAATATTCAACATGGCCGCACTTGTTGGTATAAGTGAGAGACATGAGTACCAGCATAACGCCACAAAAGAATCGAAAATCGAATATACGTAACCCGTGGAGATTCAAAATTTTCGATACTTTTTGAACAGACTTCGTATGTCTCTAAATAGCCTTCTGAGATTGTTCTGCCATTCTACCTTTATTATTTTTTTATTGACCTCTAAAGCTGCCCTAGTTCTCTGGTCTTTTTAATACCTCATTTTTAATCTTGTACATCCCCCCGACATTTTCATTATCTGCCTGTACGTAACACCGAAATTTATGTAAGGTAGATTTATAATGATTCGAAGATCTTCAAAATTCGTTATAACTAAGATGGTTTAATTTCGATTTTCGTTTCATTTGATTAGCAACAACAATTCATTTCGGAACTTCTTCGATGGAGAGCTCAAAGTACAGCCGACCATGTTCTTTTCACTCTGTTGAACAGCAAAGGAGCTGTAGCGAGAACTTTGTCGTGTTCAGAACTACACAAAAAGGCAGAACGAATAGGCAATTTGTTAAATGAAAAGGGCCGAGTAAATACGGGTGAGCATGTGGCACTTATATTTCCTCCTGGTCTGGATTTGATTTGTGCTTTCTACGGATGCTTATATGTTGGAGCCGTGCCCGTTACGATTAGGCCTCCTCATCCGCAAAACTTACAGACAACACTTCCCACAGGTACGATTAAACTAGTTTCATGTATTAAGTACATCACTAGTAAATGAATTTTCTTTTTGTTAGTTCGAATGATAGTGGATGTGTCGAAGTCGGTTCTTGTATTATCATCGCAGGCGGTCATAAAGCTACTGCGTTCTAAAGAGGCGAGTAACGTGGTCGATCTAAAATCATGGCCTCCAATACTAGATACAGATGACATACCGAAGAAGAAGCTGCCCATGGTTTACAGGCCTCCTGCTGCTGAAATGATCGCCTATCTCGACTTCAGCGTTTCCACAACGGGGATGCTTGCCGGTATTAAAATGTCCCATGCAGCAGTTACGAATCTTTGCAGAAGTATGAAGTTAGCCTGCGAACTGTACCCCAGCAGGCACATTGCATTGTGCCTGGATCCATACTGCGGTCTTGGCTTTGCGCTGTGGTATGTTTCGATTTTGATTCCTTTAACATTTAATTCTAGGACTAGTGCAAGTAATTACAAGAAAATAATTATTACATGTACGTGTGTTCCTTTAGGTGCTTGAGCAGCATTTACTCTGGTCACCATTCCATTCTTATACCTCCTTCGGAAGTGGAGGTTAATCCGGCCTTGTGGTTATCGGCAGTGAGTCAGTATAAAGTTCGTGACACTTTCTGCTCATACGGTGTGATGGAACTCTGTACAAAGGGCTTAGGGTCCTCTGTTAGTCAGCTAAAATCGCGTGGTGTGAATCTAGCTTGTGTACGCACATGCGTGGTCGTAGCTGAAGAACGTCCGCGTATTAACTTGGCCACGAGTTTCTCGAAACTTTTCAGTGCGGTCGGTCTTAGTCCTCGGGCGGTTTCAACCTCTTTCGGATGTCGTGTAAATGTGGCCATTTGTCTCCAGGGTGCCTCCAGTCCGGAACCTTCTACTGTATATGTTGATTTGCGCGCCCTTAGAAACGACCGGGTGACATTAGTCGAACGGGGAAGTCCACACAGTTTATGTATTATGGAAAGTGGAAAACTTTTACCAGGCGTTAAAGTGGTCATTGCAAATCCAGAAACAAAAGGTCAGTGCGGCGACTCCCACTTGGGAGAGGTCTGGGTACAAAGTGGGCATAATGCCAGTGGCTACTTTACGATTTATGGCGATGAGAGCGACTATGCTGACCACTTCAACGCCCGTTTGGTGACGGGAAATACGAGCGAGGTGTTTGCCCGTACGGGTTATCTAGGTTTCCTCAGACGTACCGAGGTCACGACTACCACGTCATCTTCTGGAGTAATAAGCACAACGCACGTGGAGGAAACGCGATTAGGTGGAATGATATTAGACAGTGACACCGAATCGTTGGGATCACAGCAGCATTTATCTAACGATGGTTCAGCCGAGTTGCACGATGCCGTTTTCATAGTTGGTGCCTTGGATGAGACCATTATGCTGAGGGGCATGCGATACCACCCCATCGACATTGAGAATAGTGTGTTGCGTTGCCACAAGAAAATATCAGAATGGTAAGTGGTATTTTTATCAGTGCAGTAAAAGTTCTTCATTCGCGGGGTATACGTTCCATAAATATGCCGCGTATACAGAAACCGTGGATATGGATTGGTAATTATATGGAATCAAAAGGGATACGTTCTAAGGTTCCAAAATAAAACCAATATGTATCAGAATAAAATCAATTTATTGAGAAATTCGCTATTAAAATTAATCGTTATAATCACCTTTAGACAAAAATTTAGTGATTTTTTTGTTTTGAATTAGTCCACTCGGTTACATCTTTTATAAAAGCTGCCTCGGCACGTACCAACAGTACATACTCAAAAGATGCCGGACCATACATGAAGGGGATTCAGTAGTACACGCGCCGTAGAGTAAAAACATGCTTATTGTTTCTAGATATCATGAGTTTAATGTTTGGAACAGAGGTTTGAAATTTTGTAGTAAGATAGATAAAGCTTTTTTCTAAAGCCTGTCGAAGGTCATTTTTTAATTTTTTAATTTCTATTGAAAATACGTGTCCTACAAGAAGTACCAACTTTAAGCACTTGTACAAGCTTGTAATGACCATATTATTGAAAACCAAAAACGTACCGAGTTTGTGTAAACCTTTGTCTGTTACCATACAAAAAATGACATATTTATCTCACAGCGTTAAATTACAATTTTTAGAATGGAAACCCATGTTTTCCGAAAAATTTACAGTAGGCACGAGCGGTCTATTGCGGTCAATCCCATTAATAAATGACACAGAATCCTTTTCTGTTTACCAATTGCATCCACGAATAATGAAAACGCGAATAAGGAAACCGTGAATAAGAAACTTTTACTGTAGTTAAGATGGCGACAAAAATATGGTGTTTGGTATCATTTGAAATTACATTTGATAACCATTGCAGTGCGGTGTTCACATGGACAAATCTGTTGGTGGTAGTGGTGGAGTTGGATGGTAATGAAAGTGAAGCATTGGACTTAGTTCCTCTTGTTACGAACACAGTCCTTGAGGAACATCATTTGATAGTTGGTGTCGTTGTGGTCGTGGATCCAGGCGTCGTTCCTATCAATTCCCGAGGTGAGAAACAGCGCATGCACCTGCGGGACGGTTTCCTCGCCGACCAGCTCGATCCCATTTACGTGGCGTACAACATGTGAATGTCATCTTCATCTCAGATTGCAACGTCTGGCGATAAGTAAACAAATTTACATGAGTGTGTCTGACTTTTGTATTATTCTTTTCCCCCCAAATAGGTTCATTTATTATTACTGAATAAGTTAAGGTTCGTGCTAGGAATTTTTAAGGAGGTAAGACGTAACATTTAAGCAAGTAACGACAAAGTCGAAGAAACTCACTCTGTGGTTGTAGTTATCGTATATTTAGGGCTGCTATCGATTTGAGTTCTGTTTTTTGTCCTTATTTGTTTCAATTTTGTTAATATCGTATTATTTATTCTTCATCTTAAATTAGGCTACTGCCTAAATATATGTGCCACCTGTTAATTCCAGTTCTATTCTTATATTAGTAGTGTGAATGGTTGGAACATGAAAGAATAGTGAATAAGAATTAAAAAGACGTAAGGACCATACGTCGGTCGCATATGTAAGGTCCATACCTAAAGGTCGACGATTTTGATCGTTAAATATGTCTTGTTTTTATTAAAAACAAATTTAATTTAACCCACACTGAGAATAAAATATTTCCTAAGTCACTCTAGTGATTAACATTTGCTAAATTAATTTTCTCTTTAGTATAATGTTGTCTTCCAAACGTAAATAATTTTAGATAATTAGAAACATTCAATGATTTGACGGGGTGTAAATTTAATTTTTTTTTGACATTACAGATGTCATTACTTGCTTTTATTGTATCCAAGTGATTCATGCTACAAAAGTAACTTCTTAGCTCAAATTTTTGTATAGATTTAAATTGAGATGTTGTGTATTGTGCTCTATACTACGACGATTATTAAAAAAAAAAGTAATGGCCAGTTGTAGGTTCGTTTATTACTTTTCTTCGAGTTTTTTTCTTAATATAGAAATAGTAAATCATATATAAATATGCGCTTTCTAATCTGTGCAATACCTCTCTAAAATAATCTTTCTTCTTTTACGTATCGGAATTTCGTATATTATCGGCAATGTTTATTTTGATTTCGATTTCACGTAATAAAACAAAGGCCATTTTGCATTTTGTCACATTCTTATTAATTATATTAGTTTTGTATAACTCTAGTCTTTCGTCACTGCGACTATACAGCTGTAATGTGTATATTATTAAACGTTTTTAAATAATAACTAGCAGCAATATGTATACACATATTTTCCGCCAAAAACAGACAAAAAATGTGCACAAAAAAAGACTTCTCGAAATGTATAAAATTTTTGTAATTTTTTTCTTTTAATTGGAATTTTCTACGTTTCGAGAACTATTATATTCATCATAGTAAAACTTTCCCCGAGTGTTGTGTGATAAAAGAAAAACCATTTTTGATTAGAAGTCGGATTGTAATAGTAAATTATTTTTGTTATAGTATATATTTTTTTAGAGAATTTTGTTTCGAGCAATATTCCATAGTATTGTCTTTATACATACNTACAGTTATTATAATTATTTTTTTCTTAGGCTATGCTTTATTTAGTGAGCACAATGATGTCGATCGAAAGCAAGACAATAGGTGCGTTGTCTTTGATTAGTGTAAATAACGGTAAAAAAATAATAACAATAATTATAAATAAAAAACGATTGAAATTATTAGCGTTGAACTTAATGTGCACTGATATTTAGTTTGATTTATTTTTTTTTTTTAGAAACTTGTTATTTATGTAGAAATATTGAATATACTTCGATTTGAATCAATAAAAATAAATGTAAGTTTATATTATAAAGGCGCTATTTTTGCAAACAACAAAAACTGAACCTTTAATTTTATTAGGTTTGATAGCGACCTGTGTGTTCCTTTTTAGGAGTTCATAAAAAATCCCGAACCGTTTAGAATCACTTCTATCAAAAGTGTCACCGATCTTTTACTTGAGCTATTAGAACATTTAAATTTGGACTGATTGAATATCTTATTTTACAACTTCAGGATAAAATTTGAAAATCGTTAATTGCAAGTTTGTTTTGTCCATTAAAAATTATATGGGATTTCTGGTTGGACTTGGACATTCGAATATGGCTTGGTATAAATTGATGAAAAAATCTCAGTATTACGAATTTAAATTAGTCTAGTTGTCTATAAAACGTATCAGTTATCATCAAACCCTGTAGAGTACTTAGACCCCCCCCCTTCTAACCCTCCTTTGTCCCAGAAACGGTGCAAACACACTACTGCTTGACAAATTATAATTATTAAAGGCCTAAATGTTTTAGTACTTTTTCATAGCAGAAGTGTAAAACAATTAGTGGTCTATGGTCAATTTTTAAACGTTTTGCTTATCTGGAATGCAATTCGATTCCCAATTTAAACAAAATTGATTTTCTTCCAAAGACGCATTAAGACAGGTAATAGAAAAAGATGTGATATTAACATACTTAATGTTTGAGCTACCTTTTTAGCTCCATCGTCGTGAATATTATAATGTTAATCTTTTAAATAAGTACCTAGGGTGTGATGGGTTTCCGGTTCGCCCCAGGTACGAACCGATCAAATGCTGTCGGGCAGGTAAACGAAGAGCGAAAGTGCGCTATTGATTTTTTTCAGGGAACCAATGCATCAATCAGGAAAATGAAGAAAGAGGTATGTATTAAGTCATTATTTTTTTTATTAAATGTTGATTAAAAATTACAAGCTACAGTTATAATAGTAGAAATTCAAACGTCGTCCACGACTTCTTGGCAGTATACGTACTAAGTGGCACATAATCAGTAATACATAATAGTAGTAGAAAATCGAGCAATAAATCTTTGGTATCTTATTTTAATATATATACAAACATTAATCAAATTTTAATTACCAGCTAACAACATTTGTACATACATAATTTACCATCTAATTAATGAAACTAAAAAGGTTCCTTTTTAAGTTGAAAATTACTAAAATGTAAAAAGAGAGGAGAGAAAGAGAGCCACAACAAATTAACAAATAAAAAATTGTTCCAAAACGTCTGTACCAACAACATTTATGGTTCAAGTTCTACTCTTTTGAAACATTTGTCAGGAAGTGCTTCTGAAATTTCCCTCACGTTTTCGACTTCCTTGCGGAGCCGCTCAATTTCGTCCTTGTAGGCGTCTACAAGGGCGTTTTGCTTTTTATGCTCCACCCTTAGATCTTCTAAAATTTTGTCTAAATTCGCTTCCTGGACTCTCTGCTCGGCTTTAATTAATTCTTCTTCGAGTCTCTGCAAGTCGGAATCATCTAGTTGCGGGAGATTCTCCAATTCTCGCATTATGTCCTCCACGTCCTTCAGGATGTCGTTCACCTTCTTGGCGGCTTCCTGAGAATCCTTTCCAGCTCTGCCCACCTGGATGTGAAATGTTAATATTTATAAAATCTTGAAAGTAATACAATAAGTATCCACTTTTATATTTGTAGCTAATATACAATTAGTGACAATTTTCATTTTCTTTTATTATTATTAATTAATTTGAGGTAATTTATAGTGGATAAAAATTAAATCAATTTTCACATTAAAATTAAATATTAACAACTTAAACACTATTTAATGTTTGTTAAAGTACTTCATGTGGTAATATATATATTACTTCGAGGAATCTGTGACCTATAAGTATGTTTAGTCACTATTACTGCTGACACCTCTCGTAGCCTAGTAGTCAGAACATTGGTGTATAAAACCAAAGGTCCCGGGTTCGATTCCCGGCGAGGGTCTGACAACAACAACAGTTTTTTCCTCATTTACTTNAAACAAAATTGTATTTCAATTTCAATGTGAAAATTCATTTTTTTACTACAAACTACATTAAATGAATGAGAAAAAATTGTTGCCCCTGTCACACCCTCGCCGGTAATTGAACCCGAGACCTTTTCCTCATTAATTTGAGGTAATTTGTAGTTGATAAAAATTAAACGAATTTTCACATTAATATTAAACATTAACCATTATTAAAAACTTCATACAGTAAGCATTTTATAGGAAAAAATGTTTACCTTATCTTTGGCTTCGCCGATCAATGATTCGTTACTTCGTGTTTGTTTGTAAAGTTCTTGATATTCCATGTCCGTATTATCCACACGATCAGCCATTAAATTTGCTTCCTGTTTAAATCCAGTGGCGTTTTGATACAATTGTTCAGCTTCAGCCTTGATTTGCTGTGCTTTCTCAGAAGCGGCCTTTGCTAAACTGTCCGCCTGGGTGACCGTTCTCAAGGCATTGTCTGCATTGAATTTCGCATCCTTTAGAGAATTTTCAGCCTCGTTTGCTTTATCAGACGCTTCGTCTATCAACTGCTGTATTTCCGGAATTTGTTGAATGGCCTGTTTCGCTGCTGCCTTACTCTCTTTTACCTGCTTGTCGAAATCTATTTAAAAAGAAATTACTATTTCAGAAATTCGAGTATTCTCTCCAGCAAGGATTCAATCAATTTGGTGTAAATGTTACATATAAATACTTTTCCCAAAACTAGCAGTTACGTTTAAAAGAATAAGAAAATTTGAACAAAATCTTGGCATCTACAAAGATAACAAATTTGTTTTATGATTTGTAAGTTACTGCGCGTCTTTGCAGGAAGAAAACTGAAAATCACTACAAGGATTCAAAATGTGTATCCTTCATATAAGTTTAAACCAGGAAAATATTTTTCCTTATCTTGAATTTCTTTATTTATTTCTTTTGAACAATTAATTGAAATGTGTAATTTAATGAATGAACAATTATTAATTATAATTAGATATTTTTTAGAAGTTATGTTATTTCTTCCTGAACAGCACTGTATCTATCAATGTGTTGATGATGTGACCACAACAATAGCTACTTCTGGTATTTGTTTACATACAAGGTAAGTGTACTTATCTCAATTAAAAGTTTATTTCACTTCGTTTGGGACCGTTTTAAAACATTATTTATTAAAAATAAATAAATATCTGACTTACGACTTAATGTTTCGTACGTGGCTGTAGCTTCCTTAAGAGTTTCATCGCCAAGAGTAACAGCGCTTTCTGCTTGAGCTTTTGCTAAATCAATTTCGCTTAGCAAATCGTTTGTTGTATCTTGCTGTTCGATTCCCTTTTGCAATAAATCTTCAGCAAATATAACCTGCTCGTTTATGTCGTTCAGAAGATCGTCGTTTTGTTGTTGGAGTTTTTCTGTTTCATTCGACAGTCTTTCAGCCTCTTTCTTTACGTCTTCAGCTTGCGATTTAAGTGCGGGAATATCTATTGCTGGTATCACGTAATTATACACTACGTTTAATAATGAAAGAGCGTCTTTTTTGGCCTCGATGGCTTTATTTTGAGTATCTTCCGTCCAATTTTTAATACGATTTAGTCTTGCTTCTGTTTCATCGACGTCGTTCCTTAATCTTTTGACGTCTTGGTTTATATTGCGTTGTAAATCTGTTGCGTTTTTGGCAAGATCGTATGCCTCAATTGATTTGTTTTTCGCGTCGGCAGCAGTTTTTACAATAACTTCAGCATACTCGTCGAGATCGTCCGCTGTCTTCCGAGCTTCTTGGGCAATGCTGGTCATCTTGTCAGACTGTTGACCGAATTCTCTTGCTCGTTTTTGGGCATTCTCTAAAGCATTTTTACCCTGAGTTTGCAATATATCCGAAGCTTCTTCCAAATCTTTCTTTGCTAAGCTGATGGAATCTTCTGTGTATGAAACGTTGCTCTTTGCAATTTCACCTACAAATCAAGGTATTTAATTATAAAAATGTATTTTGAATTATTCAAAACAATTTACCCATGTCAAGTGCTAATTGGGTGTTTTCTTTAATTTCTGACAAAGTTCTGGATATAGCCTTTTGCCTCTCTTCAATGTTATTCAACTTCTCGGTTAAATTTTCTTCGTCGCCTCCTGTACCTGTTCTTGCTTGATCCAGTAAGTCTTCTATTTCGTCCTGAATAGCCCTCAGTTGTTTTTCGAAGAGATCGTCGTTGATAACAGTTGGGTTCCGTTCTATTTCATCAAGTATTTCGGCGAGACGGGCCAGTTTGGCTAAATGGTTTCTGGACGCGTTCTGGACCAAGTTGTAACAGTCGGGACAGTCCACGCAACCCCTTTTACGGTCGTATTTGTTCTCTTTACAACGATCGCATTTACGTCCTTCGACATTATCCAAACAAGGACACTGACCGAACATATCACATTGTGGGCCTCTTGAACCTATCAGATCACATTCGCATGCTTTACATCCTTCTGAAGAAAAGCCATACTTGTAGTCTTCACAACGATCACAACGTAAACTATAAAAAAATTGCGACATGAGAAAAATTTAGACCAATTTTATTGCCATTTCATTTACCCTGTGATTCCTTCCCTGCAATGACACTGTCCCGTGTACAAGTCGCAGGTATGATTAAGGGATCCTATAGGATTGCAGTTGCACTGCTGGCAACCTTCGCCGCTGACGATGTTATAGTAACCGTCTTCGCATTGGTCACAGTTGCGTCCTTTCACGTGGGATTTGCAACGACATTCGCCAGAAATTTGGTCGCATTCGCTAATGCCATCGGGACGTTCTTCGGTACCCGCGGAGTAACACTGGCAAGGTTCACAGTCACCTTTGGGCAAAGCTAATGCATCTCCATGGTATCCTATACAAAATAAAGCCCATACAAAATATTAAATAACCATTAAAGTGTATTTCAATTTTACCTGGCAGACATTGGTCACAATGAGTACCACCTGTATTGTGGATACATTTTAAACACTCTCCCGTTGTGGTATTACAATTACCGACTGCGTTCGTGTCGATATTTAGATTACATTCACACGGTTGGCATGGTTGTGCAGGTCCATAACGGCCTGTAGGATCCCCGAAATATCCATCGGAACAAGAGTCACATCGATGACCAGTGTAGCCTGTAGGACATTCGATACACATGATGATGTCTTCGGTCAATTGGATGCAAGCCCCTCCTTCTGGACAACCACATGGTTGGCAATCGTACGGAGTTCCTACAGGGGATTCCAAATTTCAGTTTATTTCTACTTGTGCTTGGTAAGGGGAAAAAGGAGAATTCTGTTACCTGTAAGAGCGTTTCCATAGTAGCCCCTCGCACAGCGATCGCAATTGTCACCAGCAGTGTTATGTTGGCATATGCAAAGTCCTGTTTCTGAATCACATATATCAGCGTGCTTGTTGCAGTCACAAGGGATACATGGACTGAATGGTCCTCCATGGGACGGAGAATGGCGATAACCCGGAGCGCAAGATTCACAAAATTGTCCAACGTAACCTATAACGAAAACGGGTATCAATTGTTTGCGTTTGCTTCAATTGGTTATTTTTTTTGACTTACCATCTGGGCACTGACACATCTCCACCCACAATGCAGGTCTTCCAGCGACTCCTCGCGAAGCAGTCTCCAATTTTACATCGTCCAAGAAACCGACGCCTCCACTGGTGTACGTTCCCTTAATCCTAATGGCCGTCAAATTGGACAAAACTGACATAAAGTTTCGAGCAGACAATCGCGGCTGCCAACCGTAGTTTGGATGTTCGTGAAGACGGAACTTGTAATGCTGCTTCTATTTGATCAGAAGTTTTTATGTTGCTTATTTCGAAAAGACATCTCACCAGGTACTTACCTGAACTGCCGGTATTGGATTTCTTTGTGCAAAAATGGTGTTCGTGACGTATGAACCAGCTCCTTCCAGAATAATATCGGTGGCCGTTGGGACCGGTCTATTTTCTCCAATGCTTAGGGTGAATTGGAGCAGCTGGTTGTACGAAGCTTTCTGGTTTCCTAGGAACCGTTCAGGTGCGAGGAAGTATACTGCGTCGTCTGGAGGTGCAGAAACTCCAATTCTTTGAGTCAGTCCATCGTAATGAATTTCAATTGGTCTTCCTTTTTCATCTTCCGCTCTCCATTTCTCTGTACTCTTTGAAAATATCGATTCAATTTGGTATCTGTAATGATGAGGAGTATGTATAGTTTTCTTTACGATTTTCATATGATTTTGGTTTAATTTACCGCGAATATCCAGGCGCTGGGGCACATTCTGAAGAGTGACCATAGCAGAAACAAGGAGTGCATCCAAATTCGTTTTCGAGATCCAAGTTGAAATATCCCGGTTTGCATTCTCGACATCGCTTTCCTTCTACGTTTTCTTTACAACGACATGCACCACTTATTGGGTCACAGTCAGGGGTGTTACTCAAGGAACCCTCCTCGGAACATCCGCAATGTTTACATCCGTGAGTTCCGAATTCGAAATAATTAACATCACATCTAAGGAAATTGATTTATTTAGTTTCCATGTTGCACCCTTTCATTATCTACCTACCTGTTACATTTGTCTCCAGTTACTCCCGGTTTACATTGGCAACGTCCTTGTGAATTACATTGTAAATTTCGAGATCCTATAGGGTCACAATCGCAAGCTATGCAGTATCCGTCTTCACGCGTGAAATAATTTTCTCGGCATCTTTCGCAATGGGGACCGTCTCTGTTGGCAGCACAGTCGAGGCAATGGCCCCCGTGGCCTGTACTTTCATACAGTTCCTTATCGAAGAAGCATCGGGTCGAGAAACCATTACAGTTACATGCTAAAGTAATAATGAAATAGATATAGAAAAGACAAATAAGTATGTGACGATAGTAGAAAAACAACTTTTAAAAACAGTTTTATTCAAAAAACATTTACAATCAAATTCAAATAGTAACCAAGTCAAAAACTTGTCCAGGATCCACTACTACAGCTGCCTCTGATATGACACAATAATATAGTGAATAACCCGCTAAAAATTAGATGGAACTCAATAGAGTAATCACATTAATTTATTTAAACACTGCATTAAAATCTAGGACAAATGAAAATGAGTATGTATGGATTAAACTCAAGGACAGTGAATTACATAAATTGAATAATTTCGTGTCGTAGGTTTCAGCAGCTTGCAACAGACGAAACAAAAAACAAAAGAGAATATATAGTCTGTGATCTCCCATCTTCATTTGAGTATGTACTTTTATTTTTAACGTTTTAATGGTAAACGTTTAACTCATTGTCAGTTTCTGAAACTATTAAGTTGCGGCTTCTTCCACCGCTGCATTTTTAAGATACACGCATTCCAACAATCTCAAGACATTAATTTTATAGTCAGCGTTCCGATGTGATCTTCCGAATGAAAATTATACCTCACTATCTTACAATATAATTTACCCATAAAGTTTCGAACTTTACACGGGTATTAGAGTATTAAACAATTTAATATAAATGGAGTATTATCTAATGAACAAAATGGTTTACGAACGAGGAAACTCTTAATAACGGAAAGTCAGTAGAAGATACTCGAGTTTGCTTTCTAATCATTGATATACTGACTAATTCACCGACTTCGAAATGGGGATTCTCTTTAAAAAAAAATGATACGTCACATTTGAATATGCGGACAATATAAAATGGGAAATAGTGTTTTGGCAAATTCTTTATCGTAATTCAAGCAATCTGTTTAATTCTTTCTACTACTGTTAGTATAGGGTTTTCCCACAATCAAAATTCTCGAAAATTATCCTGTTACTTAATAACTAACTGAAAAAGTTCAGATAATTTTGTGATAATACTGTGCTAAGTTTTATGCTTAATATTTTCCAGGATCAGTAGCTTTGAAAAACAAATGACTGAAAAGATTCCGAATTTCCCTTTAGAAGCACGAAACCTTAAAAACTAAAACTGAAAATTCACACACGGTATATTTAAAATTGATTCGCGTGCTTAATTTCCACTTACTGGAATCAGAAAACCATGGAGTTAGTCCGTCCCATTTGGCGCAATCTGTTACGAAATTTTCCGACACCAACAAGGAAAGCAACACCAATACCGCTATTATCGATTTCATAGTATACGGTCTCATTTCCAACCCCTTAAATTAGATATACTTTGCCCCATTGCGAAATGTTTACGTTTGTTTGTTGTGAACACTTAACAAAGAAAATTGTCACAAGAAAGTCGACAAAGTTTAAAAAACATTTTCGTAGATCCTTTATAATATAATTTCACGATAGTGGCGTTAGTAATGTTATGTGGCGAGGGTCGATTTTCGAAAAGTTGGGGGTTGATAGTTTATAAACGACTCAGGTGTTATATTGCCGAATCGCGCCAGGTCTTACACATATACGAGAAAGCAAAACAACTAATAAAAGAACACCGATCCGATGTCTTGGGGCGATCGAGTGTAACTGTGACTCACGGATGGTGAAGAACATGGTCTTGGCTTGGTAAAGGTGTACCACGACCTGGGACCGAAATATACAAGGAGCGTTTGAAAAGAAACCATTAAACACATAACTGAATGAAGGTCCATCAAAAAGTTAGAAATTCAGAGCTGCGGTATTTGGATACCATTTGTATATCCAATAGCTGTATCCGAATCCTTTGAGAAAAAAGGATGAACTACATGACAGATGATAATACAACATTATCCTACAAAGTCATTGAAATTAAGTATCTCCCATAGTGATTCTTCTTATTGTGACTAGAAACACAAACATGAAAAGGCTTCGTATTTATGTTTAATGGAAATTTATGGGTTTTATTAATTTTGTGATAATTTCCTCCTTATTTATTTTCATCATCATAAGGTCGTCAGACCTAAGACTGGTTGGACACGCTCTTCCACTTTCCTATCCTGAGCTAACCTTCACATTTCCGTAAAACTAGAATAACCCACATCCTTAACTATTTACGAACAGTAATCTAATCTAGGTCTACCTCTACCCCTCCTAATTTTCGTTTCTGCCTCTAGTATGTCTCTGACTAGACCTTCATGCCTGAGATGTTGTCCTACTAACCTATCTCGCCTATTTCTTATTGACTTCCATATAGTCCTCTGTTTTCCTATTCTTTCTAATATCTCTTCATTTCTAACCTTCTCTATCCACGGTATCCTCATCATTCGCCTGTAACGCCATATTTCAAACGTTACTAACCTTTTCTTTTCCGCCGCTCCCACTGTCCATGTTTCGCACCCGTACAACAATGCGTTCCAAACATACACCTTTAACAACCTTTTTCGAATTTCTAAATTAACCGCTCGCGAGCGTAGAAATGACTTCTTTTTATTGAAGATGACTCGACCCTGCGCTATCCTCTGCTTTTTATCCCTATTACTCCTTCCGTCCTGACTTATCTAACTTCCTAGACACCTAAAATCGGTCACTTCTTCTAATTTTTCGTCTCCTATTTTTATATTCCCTCTTCCCCTATTTTTCTTCCCTTGCATACCAGTATTTTGGTTTTACTTATTTATTTTAATTGCTTTTATTTAATATACTCATATAATAGTGAAAATGTTTTCGTTTAACTCTCGTATATAATGCTCCTTTACCTCTTCGAAAAATGTCCACGTTCTTTTCGCATCGATGACCCATTGTTACAACCATACAACATCGACTGAAGTATAACGCAGGAAAAACTTCCGACACTATTGAAAAATTAATGCTCCTTGGGAAAAATTAGACGCAGAGACGTGTCGAAGTAATTAATTTTATTATTGAGAATGTATTTTCAGTTACAATGTGTTGTATTTCACTTCCCTGGGGGCAAAAATACATATAATACGTTAGAAGCGGTGTTAAGACTTTTCCCGTTAAGCGAGGCGTGGAGAAATTCACGGAACATTTGAGCACAAGCCGTTGTAAATGTCAAAAGTGATTAGAAAAGTTCGATTCAAGTAATAAATGAATTTATAGGAATTGGAACATGCTACACATAACGTGTTAAATAGGTACTAGACTTAATAACTGAATAAAATTAAATTATTCAGATACTAGGATACTAAAATTTATAAAGTTCCTTACGAAAAGAACACAAACAAGTATAAAAAATGTAAGAAAAATGCCTCCAATTATTTTATTTACATGTGGAGACCACCAAAAGAAAAATTGTCTTTAGAAACGTATCAGAAATGTTCTTAAATATCGGCGTCTTGAAATGAAAAGTAATTTTCTTCATCAAGCATTAAACTCATTTTCTACAAAAACGTTTTCAATTCTATGTACATATATAAAAGTGGTTGACGTTCAACGCATTTTGTGTAGTTATTTGTGACCTGGTTCTGTAATCCAAACGAGAATCAAGAATAAGAAAAAGAGTTGTCTGATTACGATTATTATATTATTAAAGTCGACTGACTTTTATGTTCTGGTCACGACAGTTCGTGATGGCATACAACAGATAGGGGAAACTGTTAGATTTGTAGGCGTTATTCTATCGGTAGATCTCTAATCTGAAATTTATTACGTTGGTAGCAGATATAGGCACCTATGCGGTACAAGGAGTTTCACAAAGGTGAAAAGTGTCTTAAACTACAGTCTCAATTCTTTTTTGTTTTCTTCTTTTGAGCTGATGGACATCTAACAGCTTTTAGAGTAGAGTAGTAAGCTCTTTTTAACGAATGCCAAAGGTCAATTCATTTTCTTTCGGTGTTGATAATTTTCGTTACGTACAACATAAAAAAAATACAACGTGTAATCATACAACACGGTACTGAAGTGAAACTCCTTCAAAAACACAAACATACCGGGGTAGGAGTTAAGGAATTGGTTTAATGGTATTATTTGTACACTATGCTTCGCACGGGTGTATTGCTGATAGTAAATATATTATAGAATGTCTTTATATACAACAATCACAGCTTTTTTGTCATTAGACAATACAAACCGGCCGGTACTGCCGCAACCGCTATGTCTGTAATATCTTCGAAAATATTCATTTAAATTACATGCTGTAAAGGGCCATATTGATCTATATTAAATGCACAACGTATTTAAAAATACTTAATTGGATAAGGATTAATGCTGTATTGATTAAAATCGTTTCGTAAATAAGCCATTATTTGTCGTAAAAAATAAAGGATAAAAAATGGTTATTGTGGGATATCCCTAAGAGATAGACATATACCATCCCGGACTTTTTTGTAGACCTTTTTTAAGGTGTACAATACTGTAGTATATTATTTTGATCTATCTCGTAGGGTTCAGCCAGCATTTGCAATGTAAGCGCAAAAATGTATTTATTTACGACATCACATTACAACCCTCTAAAATTATCAGTGTTTCTCTACTATATTACGCAAGTATTATACATATAAACCTTCCTCTTGAATTACTCTATCTATTAAAAACAAAACGCATTAAAATCCGTTGCATAGTTTTAAAGATTTAAGCATACATAAGGATAGACAACAGGGGAAATGCGTTGCATGATTTCGTTACATAGCAACTCGCATGAAACGAACTTATCGTGCGTAAAGAAGTTTTACTTCAAAAAATACAACGTGTAATTAAACAAGACGCTACTGAAGTGCAATTTCTTCAAACACACAAACATACCGGGATAGGGGTTAAGGAATTGGTTTAATGGTATTATTTGTACACTATGAATTTAAATTTTACACTATACATGCCGGAGTTGCCTGTAACGAACGTTGCATTGAAGCGCGCTTGCGGCTCAAGCGATCTCCACTACGAACTCGACTACGCGACCGAGTAGAGGGGGGACATCCGTTGCATGATTTCGTTACATTGCACTCGCATGAAATAAGTTTCACTTCAAAAAATAAATTTTAGTATTTCTCTTTCTTCCTTTTAAAATTTCAATATATTTTCCTGCAAATAACTAATCGGATATTTTTCAGCTTGGGAAGTTAATAAAAACTCAATAATATCAAAATTAAATTAAAAATGATTATTATCCGAATTCCCGGACATGTTCGTTTGTCTTTTAGTTATTTTAATAGAGCAAAATATAAAACATTCTTGCGTCAGAGGTGGTTTGAGCGTTCGATAAATAAATAATTCATGAACAGCATGAGGTCGTTAGCGGATTCCGCTCCGCTTTGCCATTTTCGTGAGCCGTACTTCAAACCAGCACCAGTTTGTTCTCTTTATTAGGGATTTATAACGAGCTACTTAAGCAGCAGCCGCAACGTTTTCAGAAGCAGTTTTAGTTTACTCTTTTTATTATTATACCTAATTATGCGTATTATACATTATTATTTTTTTCATGAAGTTGTTGTGAAGCTGCAGTCTTTGTTGTCCAAACGTAAATTTCAACAAAAAAGGTAAAAGGAATTTTTACCTATCGCATTTTTAGAAGGTTATGGCATAATTACCATTAATAATAATTATCATCATAAGGTCGTCAGACCTAAGACTGTTTGGACACGCACCTTCACTCATTTCTATCCTGAGCTAATCTTCGCATTCCCCTAAAACTAGATAACCCACATCCTTAACTATTTGCGAATAGTAATCTAATGTACCCCTCTTAACTGTTCCTGTTTGCCTCTAATATGTCTCTGAGTAGACCTTCGTGCCTGAGAAGGTGTCCTACCATCCTATCTTGCCTATTTCTTATTGATTTCCACAGAGTCTTGTGTTCTCCTATTCTTTCTAATACCCCTTCATGTCTAACCTTCTCTATCCACGGTATTCTCATCATTCGCCTGTAACACCACATCTAATTTTTAGTCTCCTATCTTTATATTCGCTCTTTCCCTACTTTTTCTTCCCTTGCATACCAGTATTTTTGTTTTACTTTTATTTATTTTCAAACATTACTGTTTAGTAATTACCGCTTACATTTTATTTAAAGCTATCTCCAACTTTCCTTGCTAGATGCTAATACTGCTATATCATGTGCAAATCTAGTCATTAATCTTTTGCCCCTGTATATCTATCCCTACAATTGTACTGTCTGTAATGATGTTGATCACGTCTTAGATGTATAGATAAAAAAGTAGCGGCGACAGTGTGCATCCCTGTCTGATACCCTTCCTAATGTTTATTTCTCTACGTTGCAGCTCCACCTCTATAACAGCCTGTTGCTCGTTATGCAAACTAAGTATCACTCTTCTATCTCTGTAACTGTAAGAATGGCATCCCCCGTTCCTATATTTCTTCTAAACCCAAATTGACCTTCCCGTAGTAGTTCTTCCGCCCTTTTTTCCATTCTCCTCTGTACAATTCTAGTTAAGATTTTTGACGTACGGGAAGTTAAGCTAATTGTTCTAAATGTCTCGCACCTATCCGCGCCTCTCTTTTTAGATATCGTTACTGCCACGTTCCGTTTATAATCTGGAACTTTCCCCATCTCGTAAATGTTACCAACTAACTTAAACATACGATCTCTAACCTCTTGTTCTGCATGTTGTAGAATTTCCGCCTGCATCCTATCTATACCTGACGCCTTATTATCCTTTTAAGTTCTTTAATGTTACATCAAACTCTTCTCTCATTATGGGATAGATAGATCATTACTATTATTTTCCCATGCTTCCTAACGTTTCGCTAGAAGAGAAAAGACGGAAGGACCTGTGAAGAAACTTGCTACTCGTGCTAGCGAAACGTTAGGAGACAGCTCAATCTTTTTCATATTATAAAAGAATTTAATCCATTTTCATTTTCAATTAATTTGATACGATCCAAGTAACACGAAGTCGTACTGAGTTCGTACTAAACCAGAAAAATTATTGCATAGTTTGGTTTAAGAAGTTACACTGGAGGATGATTATTTATCCTCGTCAAATTCTTATTTTCTGCAAGTTGCACCTTGATTTCATCTGACCGCTTTGAGTTTTCCTGATTTTCTCAACCTTCCAAAAATCGAACACCCCATGAGGTGCTATAATTCACTCGAATGTGTCAATCACTAAGTACTGTAACTTACCTTTACATTCGTGTGCATTTTTTGCGGAAGCTCGTCTCCATGGGACGTCGTTGTAAAAGGGGAGACATTCGTTACAGTCAGGTCCGGCGGTGTTGTGTTCGCAACGACAAACGCGACGCGTGCTGCCGTCGACGCCGGACGCCGTGACGCACTGGGAAGCATGACCGTTGCACTTGCAACGCGCACCTACCGCAACGTCCGCGATCGCGTAAAAATACGAACGCAATACCTGCTGATCACCAAACACTTCGTCACCGAAGGTATTCAAACGATCCAAGGAAATGAGCAAGTCGGTTGCAGTTACCCATTCCTGAAACAAAAATCAGAAGTGAAATTGTAGTACAGAAATAAGTATGAGATAACTGATTTAAATGAATGACAAAAAGGATTGTGGAAAGTACTTTTAATCGGCTTGGAATTTAACCAAAAAGGAGTTTCATTGCACCTAAGATGGATGGTATTGGTTTGACCGGTAAGATCTAAAATCAAAGTCAATACCAAGGAGGCTTACTACTTGTTCTAAACTTTTTGAAACGCTTCGCATTTGAGACAAATTTTAGTACGTTTCGAAGGACTCGTGACCTGTCTAAAAATTAATGCCTTAGAATCATGAAATATTGTATGATTTTATGTAGTTTGAATCCTAGTCAAAATAATGATGAGCGTATTCATAATTGCTCGTTGACTGTTGTTTCGTTTGCAATTAATTGTTTGGTACATTGACCATTATGTCTAAAAACTGTGAGTAATGTTTAGAATTATGAAAAAAATTGCTTTTACTATTATCTGCAAGTAAGTAGGTAAATCGACGTATTCATGGTGAAATTAATGGTTTAGGCAGTACCTACAGTTGTTTTTATTAAACCTTCATCAAACATTACATTTTCTTATGATAAGTTTTAATAATGAAATAAAATTTGAAAGGAATGGTACATAATATGATATCAGTCGATAAACTTGATTAAGCCGTTGTGGAAATTAGAAATGCATGCTGCTGAATCCTTAGAATATAAAAATTGACCAAAAAGGTTAGATTTGGTTGTTAAGGGTTACATAGTTGCTTGACTAGTCCTACAGAAACTGAAAGAAGTACACAATCATTTCTACAATGTTTCTATTAGGAAAATGGTAGTAGAAATTTGTGGAATAGTTACAATTTCAATGATATATAAATACCCTTGCACTTTAAAGGCATTAATTTTTTTCTTCAAAATATGGAAGCAATATTTCACGTGTAGCTACATGATCAATTATCTAATCAAAAGTGTATTAAATCCTTCCATCTCCTTGCGTCTTTGATGAAGAAAAGCAATGGATTTTATAAGTGACTCATTTTTGTATTTTTTTTTATTCGATCGTGTCGTGTTTTAGGCGAGTGTTTTATCGGTATGTAAACTAGAAATATAATATCCTTTCATATTCAAGTGCCTGGTACAACTGTTATTGAAGCTTTTGTATCACGCAACCCGACACTATGAAGTACCTAAGGAATCCACGGAGACGCACCAACTTGTTGTGCTGTAAGAAACTTTAACTATCATCAAAGTGGCTCGATCCGATAGCAGATAAAACATTTGCCAACCATCAGTGTCAATTTTCATTTTGCCTGTCAAAATTTACGTGTCGGTTACTAGTAGAAATATTGAAATAAAGTGCGAATAATGGATGACGAGGAAAATCAATTCGTTGTTGAAGAAGTGAGCAAGATAATAAAGGACACCATTGAAACGGTGATAAGCGGTAACACCTATACGCAAGATAAAGTGAATCAGTGGTGCACAACAGTCTCGGAGAATTGCCTAACGGCTCTCAGTAAACTCAACAAGCCATTTAAGTATGTGGTCACGTGCTCGGTCCTACAAAAAACTGGAGCAGGATTGCACACGTCATCGTCCTGTTTTTGGGATAGCGCCACCGACGGGACGTGCACCGTACGCTGGGAAAACAAGTCCATGTACTGTATCGTTTCCGTTTTCGGACTTGCCATCTAAAATTTGAGATTGCTTCCACTTTCTTGACGCTGGTTATGTACAAGTAGTAGATATTATCGATTATTTTGTGATTAAGAAAATTTTTAGTATGTGGTTGAATTAATAAAGGAGTAGATAACTAGATAATTAAAATTTGTCTTGTATGATCATGTCTTTCAAAGTGAATGCATCCACCAGGTGAGTAATGTAGAAGGTCTATTTGGGGGAAGAATCTTGTGGAATTTGGGTGTGCCTTTTGGCTTATCTACAGGTGTTTAGCTTTTTTAAAGAGCAGTACGTCAAAATGGAAAAAGGAGTTGATTTTAAAACACTCCAAATGAAAATTTTCAAGGAACAGGATTTTGCCATATCAAGGTCGAAAAGACTGGTTAAAGGGAATTAAAAAAAGTTCATGTTTATGTTTATGTAGCACATTACCAGTAACATACGAAATTTCCTAAGTTAACTTTTGAAATTAGTAAAAATAAAACTATGAAAAAGGCAGATTTCTTAAACTTTAAAGGAAAATTCTGGGTTTCTGTAGTTTTTGGAAAGATATTTACGATACTGCGATGTAAATTGCAATATTTTTGACGTGACAACGTCTTATAATTCGATGGAGCCGGCTGCACGCACGAAAAAACATGACTCATGCGGCGTTACCTCGCTCTGAGGCGTTCCATTTAAGGCTTGAAGTGCAAGCGAGAGCTCGGAACGAGCGACAAAGAGACACAATCGGCCTCCGCGTTTGGCAGCGTTCGACATCTGTCTCTCTCCTACTTGAGTGAGCGATGCGTCCGCGTGGACAGCTGCTATACAATAATACATTTCCATTTACCTCCTCCTCTATATCCATACAAAATATCTATCAAACAAATAAAATTAAAATTTTCTTTTGAAAAATGAAACCGTTCCATCAGTATTTTCTTATGACGTTGTCACGTTCAACTATCGTCAGTAAACCGACTTTACAAACAACCGATTTTTGATCCAAATTTTTGATCGGAAATTCTCCAGAAATCTGAACCAACAACATACGCCCCTTTTTAACCAGCTGTAAGTAAAATTACGAAATTGGAAAGAGTTTCTACAGTTCTGTGTAAATTTTATAGAAAAACTACAGCAAAGATTGTGGAATCTTGATTCAGTCTTTTAAGAGTAATTCATCACAGAAAAATGAGTCACACAAGATAATTTCATCTTTAGCTTATACCTATCGTTGTTTTTCGTGATAATTGCAGGTAGGTACATATACTAAATACTTGCATGCAATTCTGGACTTGTATCAAAACTGTATGCCGATGGTCTGCCTTCTAGCGTTGAAAATGCGACATTTCCACCGGTAAGCGGGGAAATGTCAGAGTATTCGGATGTACATAAAGCTCTAGTCTCTTCTCCTCGTCTGGTAGTAGTACTATCTGGAAGATCATAGGTGTCACGACAGGATGCGCTGCAATTTAAAAATCCTGATTTAGTAAGCTTTACATTAACCATATCCATGTTTGATTAAAATGAAAAGAAAGTGAGGAAATGGACGATACAGGGAGAAAACTAAATTTTTATGACAACGCAAATATTCAATTTTCGGTTTTAAATGACTGAATTTACCGTAGAAATAGTATAATTTATTAGGTGACTTGTAATTTCAATTTTGAGATGTTTTTTTTTTCTAAATTATTTCAAGTTTCTTAATTATTACAATTAAATTTGTAATATCAACTAAAATACCTAGTAAATTCATTTCTGCTGGGATTTTATTTTTACAAATTCGAATCCAAATTGTGATTTTTATTATTTTCGCTTACGAAACGGCGGGCCAGTGGGATAAATTGTAAATATCGCTTTAATATTTAAGTAAATTTTCCTTTTTCATTTTCCCCGTGTATTACAGTACGAAGTACATTAGCACTTTCCTCGATTAAAATCCCCACAAGTTTTTCTTGTTATTCTACACAATTATTTTGAAAACGATTGCTGCAACTTGTTTACTGATTAATTTTAAGTTCCATGATGCACTTCTTGTTATTTTAGATAAGTTACTGCTAATCCGTAAGTTCCTAAATTAACAATTTTTACTTAAGTAGGTACTTAAAAAAATAGTATACAATTATTTATTGTTTTTCGTTTTTTTTTTTGTAAATTATTGATTTAGTTACTGCAAGATCCAATAGGCTTTTGTTGCATTTAATTTAATTTACATGAATTCAAATTATTACTAAACATAGGTATTCCAAATCAGAATTCATGTATCTACTAAAATATGATATTACTTTAATCATTCATACTACGTGGTACTTCTTTTTTAGTAATCGTATTATTTTGTGCGTAAGGCTGTAAATCTTTAGTATGGTAAAATTCATAACAATTCATTTTTAATGAACGCTGATTTTAGATGTACAGCATTACTTTTTCATAGACAATTAAAACGAACAATTATAAAATGTCAGAAAACTTCAAACCTGTAAAACTGATAAGGTATCCAAGGACATTCTTCGCATGTTCTTTTATATAAAGCAAAACTCTCAGGTCTTGGAGAATAAAAAACAAGTCGAATGTACGTAATATCAAACGCCTTTCCTGAAAATAAATGAAAAGCATTTTAAAATTATTATTTTGGCATAAAAATATGCTTCTTGCTAGTGTTTATCTAACACTTTCTCCGATCGCAGTGGTGATAAAAAACTGGTTTGCCCTTTAACGACAAGGAGATCGCACACAGATGTACTTTTTTGTCTTGTTTCGTGTATCTGTTTTGATAAGCTTTCCGAGATGTTTGTCAGTTTTCGGTCGACCATCGTGAACCAGTGTTACTTTTACTTACGACTGATGAATAAAAGACATTATTTAACAGTTTAACAGTGAATAATTTGTAAATTGACAAGAACTATAATGATACTAAGGACTATTGTATTACCGACGAATTAATTAATTGACTTGTTATAGTATTTCGGTTTTATTTGTGTGACGGTTTTTATAAATTTTGTGATTAACAATGTCGCTGTTCATGTACAGTTTTACAAGGGAGATGGCCAGATTTTATGCCTATGCGAAAACTTCCAGCGTTTCTTTAAAGGTAAGTTAATTTATAAATGTATATGATAGTTGAATTTTTGGATTGTTTCAAGTTGTGTCAGGATGTTGACTGGTATTTTTAGGTATGAAGAAATGCAAATTTCTTCTTTTGAAAACTTGTGGTACTACATTAAGTGTTAGGTCTAGAAGATATAGTAGCTAAACTTGCCAAAATAAAAAATATATTTCTTATACTTCAATAAATAGTTTCTTCAAGTGCCATTAACATAAAATTTAAAAAGACAAAATGTGTAATGATGGAAGGATTAATAATGAAATATTTAACTTTCGATATTTCAAAAAAAAAAAAAATTGCTAACAAAAATAAAGGAGAATAAGTGATACTCAAGATGAATGAGGATGTTGACTATTCCAAGATGTTTTTGGTCTAATTAGGTATGAAGAAATGCAAATTTCTTCTTTTGAAAACTTGTAGTACTACATTAAGTGTTAGGTCTAGAAGATAAAGTAGCTAAACTTGCCGAAATAAAAAATATATTTCTTATAATTCAATAAATAGTTTCTTCAAGTGCCATTAACATAAAATTTAAAAAGACAAAATATGAGAATAAGTGATAGAAACTCCAAAATTATGATTTCGTACATAATTATACGTATAATAATAGCGATATTAAACACCAATGGATGAAAATACGGTATTTTTGCTCCATGGAGCGTAATTTACTATTTTGTACGTCGTGTTTGCGAAGGAAAGCTTCCTGTCTTATTTTTTTCTTACAAAAAGGGAAGTAGACTTAAAGTAATAAGATTTTATCTTTAGATAAATAATATTGAACGTTCTCTATCTATTTGAGTTGTTATCATAGTAATATTTTTCGTATTTTTGTACCCAAAGTGGTTTATATGTATAGGTAATGTAGTACCTAAATGTAAGGTAAGATTCACTTGCGATGGAAATTGAATTCCTTGTAACATAGTTTCGGATTGCCACCATGTCTGGTTGTCTTGACTGTGGAAGTCTGTTAGGTACGCTGACGAGTGTTGGCCAGGATAACATACGTCGCACGACCTCCTTGTTCCCGAAATTCCAGTTTGAATGCAATATTCAATTGGTCCTTGATCTCCGCACGTGTTCGTTGCCTCCATTAATAATTTATAAGCTGCATTTTCGAATTCAGGAATACACCACTGCAAAAAAGTTAAAGGGATAGATAAATTTACGTACATATTCGTGATACAAAGTTATTGCTTGTAAAATGTATCTTTAGGTATTTATCCATTTTTTTTTATAAAAGATTTAATTGAAATGTTAAATATTATCGGGTCTTGCACAGGGATGCTATAAAGAGGGTAAGAAATATTACAATGTTTTTTCGTTATTTATTTATCAGTTTTTGTCTAAAAAGTTTGATTGAAATCGGATCAAAAGATATCTATGAATATCAGAGACGTCAATCAGAATTTCATCTTTTTGAGTTTCTCCCTACCCCTTCGTCATTCTAAGTCACAGTTTTATTGATTATCAACGATTTTTTGTGACTAAAATTTGTTTTTTTTTTTTCACGAATTTTCCTATACGAAAGTTGCTCCTCCAAGGAAATGTTTTGAAGTTAAATAAAAAATTGCAAATCGTCACGATACCCAAACACATATATGTTTAAAGCTTTGGTGACCCCTTGTAATTCATATAACATTTATTTTTATAAAAAGGTAACAAAACGTAATATAGTAAACTTCTTTTAGGAACAAATTAAATTAATTAGATCAAACTGACTTTTCTCCATTATTAAACGATATTTATAAACTTCTGTACAAATGTACAAAATTTCAAAATCTCAAAAGGAGGGGGATGACTCTCTCTGGATCCCCCGCGAGTGCCCATGAATGGAATTACTGAATTTTCTTTAAGGACAACTGATGAGTCTTGATTTTTGTCATCTAAATTAAATAAAGCACATATGCGTAAGGTCATTCATCTGTACATTTGTCTGTCAGTCACGGTCGTTTTTCCTATTAGATTTTGTTGACATGGAGACTTAAAATTTTGAAAAAATCATAGGAGGAAGTGTTAGGGGATGGCATGTAATTAGACCATATATATATTTTTTAATTTTTATAGGGAATTTTTCTAAAAAGGTTAACCGAAATGTGCCGTAACAGGTATTTCCCCTTTATTTCTTAAACTACAGAAAATAAATTAGTAATAAATACATATAGAACGAGATTTTTACTGACAAATTTAATTTGGGAGTCACTAGGAGAAAAACATTTTTTAAAATTTCTTTTTTTAGTAAATAAATGGTAATTTTTGATTTTTCTAACTCCAAGTCTCCAAGTAATTACTTAAATCAATATTTAACGTTTATTTTCTGGTTGAGTTTTGAAGTAGGAAATTAGGTAATTTCACAGTTTCTCAATTTCTTATAATAACTAATGCATCTGATAAACAAACATTTGTTTCAGTAACTACGTGTGTGTGTTCATTTTATTAATCATACAATAAACAATTTAATTTTAAGGATTTGATGATGCAACTTGTGTGAAAGGACATAATATCATAGAAAAAGACTCACCTGGTATACTTTCGCAAAAAATTATTATCAATCTGACAATTGTTTCGACCATTATTCTAAGACTACACCTACTTTTTGAAAATGACCGAATAATGGTCGAAACAATTGTCAGATTGATAATAAATTTTGTGAAAGTCTACCAAGTAAGTTACAAAAATAGAAGAG